ATTATATCCCCTTACTCATCAGAGACAACATGGAACGTGATCAGAAAAATCCAAATGCCATTTTATTTGGTCTTGAAGACATCAACGAATCAGATGATATCACCAAAGTTCGCAACAACATAAGCGACTCCAATACAACAAACATCTCTCCTGAAGATACCATTGAAATAACCAGAGATGGCCCTGAGTTCAAATACAATGATGGCTCAGTGGCCCCAAGATTTTGAAGGCAATAGTGAAGCATGGTGGAGATTCCTTGCAAGTTTGGGCTGCATTTCTGCAAATGGAATTCAACATTTGGTCAGGATCATGTTATCAGGGAGGCCTGTGATTAGCTTCACATTTATTCTTCAGAAGGATAATGACAGTCAATGTCATTAAGAACTATCGTCAGTATAAAGAACAAGAAGTCCTGGAAGTGATGGTTTAGCCCTCACAGAGCCCATAATCGAGTCTGTTTGGAATTATTGATCTCAACATTGAGTCTGTTTGGAATTATATGAAGGAATAGAAGTATTTGAGGTAGCCTACATCCATAGAAGATCTGTGGTTCTCCAACATGTTTGGAACAACTTGAAGGAACCTTGCCAAGTTCTTTCAGAAACTATGTGCAAGTGTACCTGGAAGAACTGATGCTGTTTTGAAGGCAAAGATTGGTCACCCCAATTATTGATTTGATTTGGATTTCTCTTCTGTACATTTTCTTTCCATTTTGTTAATTGATTAAAAAAAACCTAATACATCTATTTCTGAAAGTCATTCTTAATTTACAGCATTTTTGCACAACTACCAAAAACTTTCCGCATAGTACTTTTTTATACTGTTCATATGCTTATATAACATTCAATGCAATATATAAGTGTCATTTTATATGAAAATTGTCATGCTCCTGGTGGAGACTGACCCTGAGGGAGAGAAGGAACAGCTGACAGGGAGTGGAAGTGTAGCTCCGAAGATTGTGGAGGAGGCTGGGGAAGGGCAGAGGCCGGCTGGGCAGTCAGAGGAGGACCCAGGCCCATCCCCTCTCCATCCTAGGGCATGCAGGGAGGAGAGGATAAGGGAGAGATGTGGTCTACTTGGGAGGAGAGGGCCTTGATCCTCTTCATGGGCTGCAGCTGTGACAACTGGATAAGAGGACGGACATGCATACAAGTGAGTGCTGGAAATAAAGCGTGGAAATATCTCTAGTTTATTGTTCCTCTCTGAGTTTGGCATCCTTCCCAGTGTGTGTTCTGATATCTGTGGATGTCTTCCAGCCCTTATCTTGCCTGGTTTTTGTTGTTTTTTACTCTTTATAATTTAAATGGCATTTCCTCCTTCTTGTAACTGCTTGTGTGGGAGTTTTTTGTCTCCAGTCAAAGATATTTGGAGCTTGGATAACGATATGAAATATAATTGGATACCACCAGCATACCTTGGAGGCAGATGATTTCACCTGATGGCTTTACGTTCCAGTATAATAGGTCTTATATTCCCGCAGTGGTTTGTGACACCAGAGAACCTCATGACTATCAGGCATGAGCTGACCATGATAAGGGGACTATGAAAGCTCCAATTCCAGATCACATTACCAGAGAGGATATTCTTGCTGAAATATGTTGGGGAAGTATATAAGGCACTCCTCTCTGAAGACACCGCTTCATGTTGGCCGATGCTGCTTATTTGAAGATTGTCATGTGGTGAGCCAGAAGGTGTCGATTGTTTTAAAATCCTTATTTACATCAGATTCTGGATACGGTATTGTATTGTCACTGAATTTAGGTTCTTTCACATTAGATGCAATCCTTTTATTTTTTGATAATACAAGATTGATAACCTGATTAGTTATGGTATTATCTGTAATTGAGCTAATTAGTTCTGAAGTTTGTTTTTGGACATTTGTGCTTTGTTGCTTGCTAGGCTTGAGTGTTGATAAAATATTAGCTTCCTTTTTAGTCAGTAAATACACCTTTCTGTTGCACATTACTAGAGCATTGTCTTTTATAGAAGGCATTTTTGCATGACTTTCATGGAGGCTGCTAGAACAAATAGGCAAGATACTGGTAGAATTGTTTTCAGTATTTTTCATATCAGTCAATGTTTTTAAGAGCTTAGATGCCACTTTGTTAGATGATTTTACAGGGACAAGGTAGGATGTTGATGACTGGATTTTCTTGAACAAGTCATTTGATAGGTCTCATCTTATTTTCCACACTACCCAAGGTTGATACTTGCATAGCAGAGCTATTGACAACCTTCTGTGGTGTTGCCAGTAATAAAGAACTAGATTCTTCTTCCACTGATTTTGTTTCCAATGATTCTGAAGCAGGCATTTTTACTGTATTTACTGGTGATGCAGAGATGGTTGGTGCATTGGTATTTTCACCTGTCCCTGAAGTATTTGAGGCTGTAGCTATAGCCAGGATTTTGTCCTGAATTACTGGTGACAAAACAGAAACTGAAAGAGTTTTAACTTTAGCATGAGCAGGTATTTGAAGATGTTGGCCAGAAGGTAACATTGGCAGTTTCATGGAAAGTGGAATATTTTCTATTTTCACAACTGCTGTGCTTGTGTACAAACAAACTGGTACAACAGATTTCTGCAAGGATGATCTATCAGCTGAATAACTACTCTGAATGCCAAAAACTGTTGATGTAATTGGATTTTGTTTTACAACAAAAGTTGCATTAACTTGTTCTAATTGATTTAAAGGCTTCGATAAAATTAAACGACTGGGTGCAATGGTCTTTAATTTAGAGATTTTAGCAGCAGTAGATGTAACAGTACTTGCAAATGAAGGCTTCACATAATCATGAACAGATAGTGAAACGTTTCCTTTAACAGCATGAGACACAACTGGAGACTGAACCAGAGGCTTCAAGTTATTTAAAGGTTTAGAAGCTGGAAGCAATTTCAAAACTTTTTTTCCATCCAACCCAGTCATTTCAACTACTCGATATACACAATCTGTAATACTTAAAGAGAAATATATATATAATCCATTACTCTTATAAGAAGCTATTTTCAAATAAATATTTTGACTTTGATTTTGTGAGTATAATCAATATTATTCTACTTTAAGTGGGATTTTTTCTAAATTTCAAAATTTAGAGTACCATAAACAGCCTTTTAATGATCACTTACAGAAGAAAAATCCATCCATTCCATCTACTGCAGGGGTGTCAAACTCATGTCATTACAGCAGCAGCATGTGAGGTATCAGGACTTTTCCCCCCTTCACTAAACTGGGCAGGGCCGGGGCCAGCACATGACACATCCGCAGGCCATGAATTTGACACGCCTGATCTACTATGTTAGATAAAAATGTAACTTAATGCAACTAAAGCATTAAAATGTAATTTAAACACTAATATTGAAGATAAAATGAAGGCACTCTCACACTGGTGATTATATCACTTCTCCATTCCTCCAGCCAACAGCAGTTCTGTTAAATTGTTACCTTTTTTTGCTTTTTAAATAGGTCCTAAAATCTTATCATATTCTTTGAACAAATGAATTAAAAAATTTTTTTAGCTAGAAGGTAGAAGAGAAACAGAACCTACCTGTTCTAGATAGAATAATAAAGGTGGAATCATTTGAAGCAATGGGATATACATGGAATGGAATTGATTGATTATTCAATCAATCAGGCAATAGAAAGTCTAGGGTTATTTTCTCCAACATAATAGAAATGCTTTCAAATTTAGAGTATTGTTTTCATTCCTTGAGATCACAAACTGGGACCAGGCACACATTGTAAGCATATAATGAAACAAATTTTTATCTATCCATCTATCCATCCCTGACAGCTGTGTTAAAACATTTGACATTCAAAACTCTGCAGATCTACTTAATAGTACTACCAGTACCACCAGTATGTTCAGATCTGCTGAAACCACATCACTTTTGCCACTCTTTGCCTACTAAGCATTCAGGAAGATACAAATGGCAGCCCTTCCCCCAACCACTTCACCATTCAATGAATATCTAAGGCAGAGGTTTTCAAACTTGACAGCTTTAAGACTTGTGGACTTCAACTCCCAGAGTTCCTCCTCCAGTCATGTTAGCTCAGGAATTTTGGGAGTTGAAGTCCACAAGTCTTAAAGCTGTCAAGTTTGAAGACCAAGGGGGACACGTTCAACAGAAAAAAGAAGAGACACCGTGTTGGCTTTGGCCATGTTCCTCAAGAATCAGCAAGGAGCTTCTACAGTAGAGGGCCAGCGAGGGAGCAGCAACTATGGGGCATCCTGGGAGTTAAGCCACAAGGGCCGGGTACAACTGCGGAGCTGTTTAGAGACAGTGGAGCCCTCCGTCTTCGCAACCAAGCTGATGTGTTCAGGTACCACGTCGCCCCCCTTTCCCTGCGTAAGCAGAGAGCTGGGAAGGAAAATATCCCTCAATACTTACTGTGATGGGTTCCTTAATTAAGGAGCGCCATTTTACTATTTTTATAGCCATTTGGGGGAAGGGAGGTGAGTTAGCAAGAAGGATATCCGGATTGATTTGAGTATTTCCTGTTTGGGAGAAAAAAAGGGAAATTAGAACTCTTGTCTGATTTTGATCATGATGCTACTTTTTCAGTTTGGCAGGTTCCATTAATTGTTGCCTTAAAATATTTATGTATACATTTCTATTAATAGTTTTTAATTCAACTGAAAGAATAAATCCTTAACTTTTGGAAAAATTACATAATTGTCACAGTAGGAATTAAATATATATTCTAAAATTCAACACATCAATTTTAGCTTTAGCAGGCTATATTCATTAGAATTTACATTCTACATCCACGCACATCCCTTAGGTATGAAATCCAGTTGGGTGACTTTGAGCCAGTCACTCTCTTAGCCCAACCCACCTCACAAGGTTGTTGTGGGGAAAATAGATGGTGAGACTCTGGAAAGAGTGCAAAGAAAAGCAACAAAATGATTAGGGGGCTGGAGGCTAAAATGTATGAAGAATGGTTACAGAATTTGCATATGTCTAGTCTAATGATAAGTAGGTGGGGGGCATGATAGCACTATTCCAATATTTGAGGGGCTCCTTCAAAGACTTTGTGTGTGTGTGTGT